AATTCCGATATCGAAATTCCAACGTTTGATGATGGTCATTTCATTAAGTAAACTAACCGAAAGCTATCCGAGAGTTGTCAGATCCGTCGCCTTGAGGATTTATTTGAATTTAAAGGAGGCCTACGAATTACGTTGTGTAGCTGTTCACATCATAATGAAAACCAATCCATCCCTAATAATATTGCAGCGAATAGCGGAATTCACTAATCAGGATCAGGATCGGCACGTAAATTCTATTGTCAAAACCAGTATTGAATCTCTCATTAATTTAGAACAATCAGAATGGAAAGATCTCGCTGAAAAGGCGCGTATCGCTAGCAAGCTATTGAATCCTAACATTAGCGAGGACAATTACTCTCAGAGCATTTTTAAGCAAACGAAAATCGCCTCCTTAAACATTGCTCAAACAAACATCTTTCAGATAATTGGTAGCGACGACACTAATACACCTAAGGGTGCATTTATTGATATACTTCGATCTTATGGTGGATTAAATTTACCCCTGACAAAAATGGCATATGCAGTATCAAGCATCGAAGAGTTGAAACAGAAATGTTTAGATATATTTGTATATAAACGGCCCTGGAGATCTCAAAATCAAACCGGAAAGGATTGGATGATTGAAACGATAGTTGAAAAGCTTGGAATTGAACCTGAATATGCAGCACAGCTCGAAGGAAATTTCTTTGTGGACTCTATATTTTCTTTAGGATTCTATCCGTTTGACAATCATACGCTTTATGAATTTATAAATAGTAAGTATTCTGAAATTTATTTTAAAAAACTGTTGATTTTAATAATGTGAATCATTATTATTTTTTTATTGCAGTGTTTTCTAAATCGATATCGCAGACAGGATCATATGTTTTTGAATACAAGAACATAAATGATCTAAACCATTACGATATAACGTTGGGATTTCCGACTGAAACCGGTCTGCCGTTCATCTATACCTTAGCAGTACCGAAAAGAACATCCATTAACAAGGGAGTATCTGTTAAAGTCATAGACTTACAAAATGATAGCTTTGTAGAATTGGCAGTAACGGGTTATATAGTATCAAGTGAAAAGATCCAAAGTAGAATTGGTTTCGTAACACCTTTCGAGCACAGACACTACATTGCTGGTGTTGATATCAATACTCATATTGCCATACCAGTTGGATTAAATGTCAAAACGAGAGTTAATGGTATATTTGAACTAAAGATATACCCTCATTATAAATCTCGTGTTGGCAGGGTTGCAATCAGGCGATTAGCGATTCACCACAGTGTGATTCCTTATACCTCAAGACAGGACATTCTGCAACTTCTAGAGTTCAGCAATGACACACGTCTAGTATACACTGAAGAACCGAATGAAGTTCAGTTTTCGCTAGGTAACCTGACACTCTCCGCAAGAAGTGATGTTATTGACAGCGATATGTCGCAGAAGAAAGGATTTGAAGGCCTTATTAAACTTTCTACTATATTTTATTTAAATCTTGGTGCCCATTATAGGAGATGCGATGCAATCTTATATCCCGTAGAAGCACAAGTAAATCTAACTTATGTCGAGAAGACCAATAGAAATTCGGAAGCAACAATTCCTACAATAGTTGACAAACGGCCTAACAGCAGAGAAAGGAAAGCACAATTTCTAGATGGACTCACAATTACCAAAGATAATAGATCCGATAATTATGTCTATTCTGTCACTACATCTACAATGTACGACATAAGTGTTTTAGTTGATAATAATTATTACGTTTTCACTTTCGTTTTGGGAGATAGCCTCGATAAATTGCAGACCCTTTCCTATGGGAATATCCAATCACTAGATGGAGAAGTTTTCTGGGAATTTTGCAGTGTTGATAGCATTGTTGGATCATCACCGTACAATCATCTAAATGTTGAGGAAGCAATCAAAAACATTCCGAATTACGAATTTAACGCCGAGATGCGATATGGAAGTTGTGCAAATGGAGAGATGATTAAACTCAAAGGAAATTTAAGTCGCACTGATGATGTTATAAAGAAGGCAATGAAATCCGAGGTAGTCGAGGAGTGTCGACAACAAATGAAGCAAGGCAATATTTGGCTACCAACTTGTCAAAAGGCCAACGAATTAATCCAACAGAGAGATCTTCTGATGATGTCAATGGAAACGAATTCAGATAAATTCTATTCGTTTGCCAACAGTATGATCATGATGATCAAGATGATGATTTCCGATAATAATACGAAAATACCAAACTTCGAAAGCGTTAATAAGACAATGGATGTAGAAATTAAAATGTCGCTTGACAATAATGATATGAACATTTCTTTGAGCACTTCGCTAGAGGATGTTTCGTTCTCTCTGTCGCACTTTATTGAAGATCCTAATGATATCTTTTCCAATTGTTCACTGAATGATCTTTTTAAGGAAGACTTGGAAGGAGGTAAGTTATAAATGCATTCAAAAATATGTAAGAGATCAATACAATTAGCATAGTCATTATAAAAAAAGATCTCGAAAACCTTATAAAAAAATATTCAAAAATTATTTATGATAAATGGATATGTTACACTGACCCTCGTAGCACACAGCGCTTACAATCATTAACAAATCGCTAAAGAAGCATATATAATCACTTTTTAGCAGTTATTTGCAAGCACTGCTGTGCTACTTGGGGAGCAACAAAATTTAACGTTTTACTGTATTGCGAATGTGAACAGGCCTTTCCGAAATTTTTCTTGCTAAACACGATCCGTTAAATTAAATTTGATTATTAGTTTACATTTAAAAAAAATAACGCCAAAGATGCAAAACACTAAGATTTTGAGGGATTCCATGACATTACACCGACAACAAATTTTATTTATAACACATAAAAATATCAATTATCAGTTTTAAAATGCATTTAGACTTATTTCAATATCATTTTTCATTTTCGATATATTAATTTGAAAATAGTTGTTTTGCTTTATAACATGCATTATTACATGAGAATCGTATTTTCTTTATGACTTTTTTTTCTTTATATCTAGTGAGAACCCCTTTTTTATGTCTTTATGTATGTATTAGGTCGCTTTATTAAATACAAAAACTTTTTGCAGATATGTGCGTTCTCGACAAGACCCAAGTTGTAACTTTTGACGATAAGGTCTATCCCTTGACATTGGGAAAATGTTGGCACGTAGTGATGGCGCCTTATCCAAAGCGAGATTCCATTAATCCCGAACAAATTTTAGATTTTCCATATGATATAAGGGCAATTGTCATGGCTCGAGAAATGGACGACGGCACTAAACAGGTATGGATAATCTTGGGTCATGAAGAAATTCATCTGCGAAAATTGGACGATCGTCTCCAAGTTTCTATCGTTGGTGATGAGGATTATGATTCTCATTTCTCGAGTAATACGAGCTACAGACAAACTGACTTATACGCAATTTACCAAGAGAATGAAATAATCGTAATGCATTCGCTGCAATATGATATCCACATCGTATATGATGGAGAACGTATCCTACTTTATGTAAGTAAAGAAATAAAGCAAGCTATAAAGTAGACTACATAAGCTAGGCTACTTACGTGACTGCATAAAATACAATCAAGAGATGCGTGAAATTTAAATTTAACTAAATACATCTGTTGATAGGTACACGATAAATATCTCTATACTTTACGCGGTCTCTGCGGTAATTACGACATGCAATCCAACAACGATTTCGTTACCCCTAAGAATTGCATCCTGCAGAAACCCGAAGAATTCGCTGCTACATATGCCCTGACTTATCGGGAGGACTGTGAAGGATCCGTTTTGCAGAACAAACTAAATGCCGAACAATCCACTTGCATTTCGAGATCGTATATTCCGAGTGACGTCATCCGTGAAACAGAAAAGGGAAGAATGGATCTATCATTAAAATAATCGATATGTTTAAGGAAAGAACAGCAATAATCGGATAGTTTTTTTTGTCAAAACTGATAAGAGCTGTAAGCTTATGGAATAAAAATGAGAAGTTAAAATATCTGGTATAATAAAAACATTTTTATCCTGCAAGTGCAGAATCAAGATCAGCAAGAACTGAAGGAACTGTTTCCAGGTTGAAAACTTTCAATGCTCTTATATTATTAGCTTTTTTATTGATTGAGTACAAAAGTTCTTACCCGATTAAAAAAAAATTTTTATGAAAATTTTATTTATTGCGTAAAATTTTATTATTTGCGTAGGACGCAATATTTTAATTAAATTGACACTTAAACTATTCGATAGAGCAAAGTTTGAGATTTAAGAATCTGTTTTTTTAATTATGATGATGATGGAATTATGAGCAATCAAAGTTTTTTGAGCAATAAAATGTTTTTTTTTATTTAATTTGTAATAACTTAGTAATAAAAAATTATGGAGATATTTTTTAATTTAAATTTCATTTTTAATAAAATTATGGTCATTTAAATTTTGAATAATAAATCAGGCATGAAGTTTTGCACTTACCTAATATTTTGCATCTATTTTTTATAAATATATGCTATTTTGTTAATCGTAATCACATAAAATAAGTAATAATAAAGTTATATTTTTAATAACTTATTTTTTATGTGATTTTTTTTGTTTTTACAGGATATTAAATATAAACGAATAAATAAAAAATTAAAGAATAGAAGTATACTTACATTTAAATTTCTCTTAAAATCAAAATTAGATTTTGCACAATAACTATTTTTGAGATGCAGTTGTGTGTGTGTGTGTGTGTGTGTGTGTTTGTGTGTATTGAACAGTTTAAGCAAATCTGATTTAATTGGTAATCCATTTTGTTAATAGCTTCGTATGATTTATTTAGTTGTACATATATAAGATTTTGATGTAAGCACTTTCCGAAACATTTATTCTTTTGTTAATGGCCTAGTTTATTCTTTATCATAGTTCCTCTTTCCTTTTTAAAACACTGATCTACAGAGGGTACAAAAAAGGCAATATTTAATAAAATTGTGAAGTGATAGGATATACATTTTTGTTTGTTAGATTGTGAGATTATTTTATTGTAAAAATTATGTAATTGATTCAATATTAATTAACTATACTTTTAAAAATGTGTACTTTTCCAGAACTCAAACTTCTCTCAATCTCACAAATTTCTTTCTCACATTTCTCAAAATAAGTGCCTCGAAAGATTAAGGAAGGTTTACGATTGATTTGACAGTCTTTGCAAACAGTTTTTTTTTTTGCAATATATTGATTGTATTCGAAACATTTTAACATTTGTTCGATGTATATAAAGCGAGTTTTATCTATTCTTGTGATGACACCTGGACGGCACTTTGTTCTCAACAAGTGATGCAGCTTTACAGGGACATAATATATATTGTTTAAATATTAAATTATATAATAAATAGCAAGGTGTATATTGCAAAGATCTCGTATTAATTAGTTATATTATTTTACCTTAAACAAAATAAATAAAATCCAAAGCATTGCTTGTTGTTCAGTCAAACGTTCTGTATGCTCAAGCTCTCGTTGTCTAAATCTACAAAATAAAGTATGTTGCTAAAATTACGTACAACAAGACGTGTGCGAGAGCATACCTTTTCATATTTTCTAAAGTTTCATTGTTCTTTATTTTAACATCTTTCAACCATCGTTGTAACTGCAAAAAATTTATCTTTTTTCTAGACCAATAGCCTCTCCAAATGGCTTGGATTCTCATTGCCATGTTATTGTAATGATCTTGCCACATTTGGTGAACACGTTCAATTAAATACTGATTAATGATGAACATCCTGGTATGATAACCGCGCCAATGACGTTGCAGAATCGTCGCCTTTTCGTGAAGTTTACGAAGATGATTGCGGGTAACGATACCACGGAACCAAGCCTAAACGTCAGAAGCTTCAAATATATATGTATTAATTAATATATATCCCGTTAATATAATTGAATTTTAACTAACCTGAATCTTACGAGCCGCAATAAAATACATAAGTTTTAATGATTCGGCTAAATCGTGTTTAATTTTAATTGCATTCTGCAATTCGATAGAATCAATCGTAAATTTTAATTGTGACGCCATTCTTTTAACATGTCAAATTATTTAGAAATAGATAAATATTAAAAATCAAAGATCATAATTTTTTTATTTGTACACTTTTAAAAAAGACATCAGAAGTCGATCGTATCTAATTGTAGCTTTTTTTTTCATAATATTAATTGATCTCAATACACGATGTCTATGAACAACTGTCGTTGTGTATTTTGACAGTTCGTATTATATATTACATCAATTGACAACGCATAAATTTTTTAATAAGTATCAATAGACAAAATTCAATTTTATTAATTTTTAGAACACAAGTTTTAGATTGAAAGAAAAATTAATTGAACAAGGACGTCATTAATAAAGTAATCAATGTATATTTTGAGATAGTATTGCAAATATCTACCTATTTTAGCTTGCATATTTAGTTTGTATTATAATATGAAATAATGACTGTACAATGACTCATACAAGACAAGATGTATTGTTAAAATACAAAAAATATATGAATGCAAAACTATAAAGAGTAAATCGAGTTAGACGAGTAACGCTAATATATTACGCTAATTTAAAATTTTCTAATTAGTTCGAGTAGTCATTAATGTTCCATGTGCATAAGAATTACAGTAAACTTCAAAACAATATATAAAAACTGTAAGAAATACAACTAACACGAGCATGAAGGCTGACGTTACGATTACTATCTTCAAGTTGCTGTTTTTCTTTTGCCGAGTCCTTGACACTACATGGAAGTCCCGCGACTGCAATAAAAATATTCACAAATATTACGTATTGCAGTGGATAAGCGATTGCTGTAAATTGCTGTAAAAGTGAGGTCAGTTGTGCGACCCTGCATTTAAGATTAATTTATTTTTTGCTTTTGCAATTATAATTAAAGCTACTAGAAACTGCGTTAGTAGTTCCGATTATTCGGTGTAACAATGTTTCTCATTATAGAGATCATAAATATACATATAGAAGATTGTATTAACGGAGTTTCATCAGTGATTCAATTTGCGTGAATTATTAATACGAATTGTGTATTAATTTTTAATTAACTCGAGTATTAATGGGAAATATTGCACGATTGTTACGATTTATTCGTTCTTGATTGGTGTTTCATATTTCATGTTTGTGAGCTCTTCTACTTGGCAAAAGGCAACATATGATCCAAAAAGGAAACGAGAAAGAGAAAGGAAAATATGTCGAGATGTTCTCACCGAAATTTCGAGATTTTGTGTCTTTCGGATGAGTTCGTCCAACCTTTCGCCCCTATCGATCAACTTTTGGACACCATTCATCAAAATGCGACGTACTTCAATCAATTCTTCTTCTAACTTTGAAGTCAGATTCTTACAGCCAATACCTTGATTATACTCTTCCTGAAATAATATCAATTTTATTCTTTATATGTATTGACATTTTTACAATTTATCTGCATAAATTTATGAGCGATAATATCATTTATTTTTAGAAAGAGGCTGTTCTGGAACATAAAATTACTAATATATTTTAATGTGTTACAGTTTCATTATTGTCGATTATTAAAGCTAGTCAAAAAATTTGAACGTATTACAAGTAACTTATAAACTGTGTTCTTTCTACTTTTTAAAAGATTTTAAAATTTATTCATTAAAAAATTCCATATTTTCTTCCCTACTATATAAAATTGTTTTATCACTTACAATTATTTTCTTTAATGGCTTTGAGAATTCATCTTCCGCGAGATTGGTTAAATTTTTCGATAAATCTGCTAACGGTAAGTCTTTATAAACTGTCCGTAGCCTCTGCAAAAATATTTGAGAGCACGATTCTACCCATATCGCTGATGAGGGGCAGTTCACTTTCGATGTCAAACAAACATAGTGAAGTTCCCCAATCAGCACATGTACCGTATATCTATGAAAGAATTGTATTTTATTTTACTCATTGCAACGCAGATCAAACAATAACAAATAATAATAAATAAAGTTTGCTTGAAGATTAAATATAAAGTAGTAAACATGAAAGCCAAGCTGAATCTAAGTGCTTGATAATGTTTGATATGAGAGTTGCCAGTAATACGAATAACAGACTCTATTTTAATTCTAATTAAGGTCATCTTCAGTGTCTTGATAACATTATAATTAACAAAATAATTTCTATTGGCAAAATGAAACGACTCAATAAATTCAAAAAAGAAATTGACTGAAAAGAGTAACAGTAATGAGGTATGTTAATCTTATCGGTTAATTAATCTGTTGTGACCTATTACACTTGATTTCAGCGAACGTCATTACAAAAAAAATTGATAACTATGTGGCTCATAATATATCTTACAATTTAACGCGCTTTTTTAAGTAAAAAACAAGTTTAGTACGTGAAATCTCTTTGTCGCTGAAAATGCATATATTTGATATTTGATTATACCTTTGATTTTTCATTACGTTATTCTTAAAATAAATTTAAAAATTGCATATTTTTTTGCAAGTAATTATTATGATATGCATAAATTAAAAAAATCTTACCTACTGTTATCGATACTGATCTTGTCGTCCTCGATGGTTTTTAGACCATCGATGGTACTGAGAGCGATAGTACGATAGATCGGGTTTGGATTCGTGGAATAATCCGTAATGATCTTGCAACCGGATGTCTGACGCAAAGCCACCATAGCGTAGTGCACAGTTCCATTCATTTTAGCCACAAATGAAGAAGACACTTGTTGAATGGATGATGAGTAGATACTACTGTGTTGTCTGTCAAATTATACAGTGTTCACAGATGCCAGAAGAAGCAAACGCCAACGTTGCCGGTTGTTTATCCCAATTCCGATAGCCCAATGAATAACGAAAAAAGTTTCGATAACAATACATACGTGTCATGTATTTCTCTGCTATGCTATACGTACGTTGGATCACCATATGAATGTTGCTGCAAGAGATGAACTGCATACACCGATCGACTTTTGCATTTACCGAATTGCTACATGTTTGTCTATTCAATAAAATTTAATTGATAATTGATTATACAGGATGTCCCGAAATTCACAATTAAAATACTATATATTGAGAATTCCCATTTCGTAATCCCATTTCGTTGAATCAACTAATCTCTTAAATGGGCAATCTTTGATTGATGCAATAAAATAATTTAGTCGAAGTAAAAATTTTGATTATTATAACATTTTACTTGTTTCCGATAATACAAATAAAATGTTTAGATAATAATTAAATTTGTAGGATTTGTGTGTATATCATATCTAAATTAGAGATTAGTTGATTCAATCAAATGATTCTCAATGCAAGAAAGTTTCGGAAAAATTAAGTAAAAATGTTATTTGTAATGTAAATTTTTCTTTTAAGTAGTCAATTATTTCTAAAGACATAAGATTTAAACATGGCCAATTAGACTACGATAGTGTCGTTATTGTAACAACTTAACGAAATTCACCTCTGTATTTTTTAAATATTTCTTACTAAAAGAATACGCGATTAAACAAACGTCAAGCTGCAGGAATTATTTCACGCTGCTGTTATTTGCAAATTCTCTCAATCTGTTTCCCAACACAAGCGAGAGAGCGCTTATAAACAACGCCGCAAACCGCATGCGGAATTATCGCACGTTGTTCCCTTGAGACGCGACAAAGGCTATTGACTTGACGTCGAGCGAAGGGAAAATAAAATTCAGAACATCGTCAACCTGTTACCGAACGATTTGCCGTTGACGTTCCAACCGCGCTTGCGATACATGCCGTCAATCAAAACTCGTACATTTACGTTCAGATGTTCTCGTGTGAGTGAAAACGTCAAAGAGAAGAAGATAAAAAAATCGGGTATTATATTAAAAATCGTTAATTATAATCAATTATAAAAGCTACAGTGCTGTTTTAAGGAAAAGTCGAGGATATCGGTTACGATTATTATTTAAAAACAAAGTTTGATGAAAAAACGGTAAATGATTTTAGCATCGATCTGACACAGATACATATATGATGCAAATAACGAGCGACTGGTGCACAAATGTTTTATCGTCAAATTTAAATATAATATACGCGATAACGGAAGGGTAGCTTTACCAGCTGCCGTTTATGTGGAATAACTACCAACGTCTGGATAGAGTATTCTTTACGATCTCTAATCATTGGTCTGTTCTACCGACATGCATGAGTATGCAAGGTCGAGTGCAAGGCGAGATATTGCTTGCATTGTGATTGCAAAACTGACGGAACTTCCCAACTTCGTAAAAATTCAAATAAAAATGATATATCAGACAAACGTCCGTTTATGTAATAGGTCTTACTTCACAAAAAAAAAGAATAGATAACGTCTAGCAGAAAGTATAACGGAGACAGATCATGGTTCTTATCTTGTGTTTAAAAAAAAATACTTCCGTTTTTGTTCCACATAACATTCGTCACATTTCCATTTTATCTATAATATTTTGTTTACATTCACATATATGATAAACAGTTTTTTATTTAATACATAGAATTATATTATGGACAACAAATAATGATAGTGAAGAACTTTGGAGTAATCTATTTTGTTTGTCAATTAAATTTATCACTGATAAATTTATAATTAATTGACATTTGATCGAAATCATTCTCAGAGCGTCATGCCGCTAATTTATTGTTTCATCTAGTTTTTAACATATAAATTATTATAACATTGTCGCTTGTTTTGATTGTAAAGTAAATTATTTTCCATTATTATATTAATGTTTATTTAATTATTGTTTAATTATTATATTTGCAGTTATTATATTTGAGAGATAGAGTGATTAATCAACTCTATTTATATAAAGATTATAAACATTAGTACATTACGATCTAAACTAATTTTGATCGAAATGTGGAAATCAAGTATGTTTTCATTCTAATAGCTTTTAACATAAAAAGAACTCTCTTTTATTATTTACAGAAATCTTCGAGAACTCAAAGTATAGTTTTGCTGATTATTGCATTAATTTGAATGTTTATTATAGAACTATGTAAAAACTTCATATTGTATAAATTAACATTAGCTCAAGTATAGTTCAATGTAAAACTGCAAAGCATTAATGTATCGTGTTACGGGAACGAGAAAATAGAGCTGTATAAAAATAGGTTTCAGAATTAAGAATTAGCTGTAAGGAAGAAAAAAATGTAAATCATTGCAACTTTTATGGTTCTTGCATACAGAATGCGGCAACGTGTTGCACGTGGCGTAGTTAACCGATCGCATTATGTACTTCGTTACATATTTATTAATTTTTGAGAAAAAAAATGGAAGGCTGTTATGAGTACACGCGCGTTTCTTCTTAATCTATCACATGTTATATGCGGAATTTATAAACAAATTTATATACAAATTATTGCACTTAATATATTATTGCACTTAATCATTTATTACGTTAAAAAATAAGCAAAGTAGATATATTCTTCGAGGTTTGCTCGGAGAGGAAGTTTTTGCTTCCATTTATCTCTCAAAACCTGGAGAACGACTCAACATTTTTCTTGCATTTCGAACACACGAGAAGTGTGCAACTTAATTATATCTCTATCAATGTACAGATTTATTTTAATCTTGATTTAATTTTACTCTAGTTCATTTCTACCAATACAGATTAACTTTAATCTCGGGTTAATTTAGTTTTTATCTTTTCTAATTCTTAGAACTAGAAGAAGATTAAAAGCAAGTTAAATCGAGATAAAAGTCAAAATACATTGAAATTGAAAAAAGACATCTGTGTTTTTCTAATTCTTAAAACTAGAAAAAAGATAAATTGGAGAGAAGACTTGAAGTTAATCTGCAATGATAAAAACGGGCATTAGGCAAATAAGTAAAATCTGGTCGCGGACGAAGAGCGTATTTCATCGTGGCTGGTACGGACGGCGAGCGGTGGACGCGCGAGTGGCGGCAGCTGGTGGCGGCAGCTGGTGACGGCGCGGCCAATCGGCTGTCTCGAATGATCGCTGCGCGCGGCGAGCTGCGCGACCGTCCTCCTGCCCGCCGAGGAGCCGTCAGTGTGCGCGCCGCGGAGAAGCAGAGAGACAGACATCTTGTAGATAAAATTTAGCGGCGTGGTGCCTCGACCGCGAGTGTCGGTGTTCGCGGTTACGTGTCGCGGTGCTTCGTGTAGTTACGGTGTCCCGGTCCACGTCGCCGTCGTCGCCGTCATCGTCGCCGTCGTCGTCGTCGTCGTCGTCGCTGCCACCGCCGTCGTCGTCGCCGTCGCCGTCGTCGTTGTACTACTCCACATCGTCCTCACCGCCGTCTCCACCACCACCATCATCGTCGCCGCTGTCTCGAGATCATCACCGTCTCTCGCTCTCCAACTACTGTCCGTAAAATCGTGGTGTAGTGCCGCGCGCTCGCGAGAAGGACTCGCTCCGCTTCGACTCGTGGCCAACTTCATTCCTGTCAAGCAACAGAATCGAGTTGTCGCCATCGCCATCTAAAATCGGCCATCGTTGTCATCGTGCGGCTCGCGCGTGGTCCCGTCGTGGTCCAGCGATCCCGAAGCGAGCCCGCGAGCTCGCTAGGAGAGAGCCCGACGAGGGATCACCCCCTCCCCCCCTCTTCTCTCTTCTATCTCTCCGCTCCCCGCCGCTCGTCGATACTCGCGTGCACCCGCGAGTGCACGGTCGCGCCTACCCTCTCCCCCCTTCCCCCCGGGGTGCGAGAAGGGGACCGCCCTGAGAAGGAGGACCGAGGGAGTAAAGAGATCTCGTTCGAGAGAGCGAGAGCGAGAGAAAGAGAGAGAAAAAGAGTAGTGTCGTCTCTCCCCTTTTCTCCCCCCTTTTCCCTCCCGCGCGTGTTCGCGTCGGTGGCTCCGTCAAGAACGCCCGTGAACAGTTCCTAGGCACCGATGTGCCGCGCTGTGCGATAACTTCCGTCACCTCTCCGCCACCCTCCCTCCCTCCCCCCGTCCGACCGACCGATCGACCTCCGTGTATAATACGCTGAAGGTAGCCGCTATCTCGCGCGAGTAACAAGCACGCGAGACAAGAGGGAGGAGTGGACGACGACGAGGAGGAGGAGAAGGTGGAGGAGGACAAGAAGCAGAAGAAGAGGAGGAGGAGGTGGAGGAGGGCGAGCAACGGTGCGAGAAAGAGGTGGAAGAAAGCGGAAAAGAAAATAACGGTGCGGACGGAGCGCGGGCGCGAGCGAGAGGGACAGCGCGAGAGGCGAGCCTGCTGCTGAGCGAGAGCGTGAAAGAGTGCGAGGCGCCCGCTCGTCATGACCTCCAACAATTCGCAGAAACTCCCCACGACGGATCGAGTGATCAAAAGTAAGCCAACTTAGCCAACAAGCGATAAGTTACACATCGCGCGAGCGACGTGCGACCGCGACGGAACGGCATGCTCTCTCTTTCTCTCTGTAATGCGAGTTAATGCGACGAGTGCGAATCACCCGTCTATGTATGTATATACTATGCATTAATGCAATGCGTGCAGCATGCATGAGTTCCGTTTTTTTCCGGCTATCTCAGTCGGTAACGTCGCCATCGCTCGCGCTCCATTTTTCTTTACTTTTTTAAATCCATTTCTTCTCAATCTCAGATTTTATGAAGCCGACGTTTCGTACAGCCTTCGCGACAATTTGCCATAATTTTAGATTTGAATATCGCGAAGACGCGAAGAAAGATTTTCGCGCTTCTGCGAGGTATAGGCGAGGAGAGGGGGAGGGGGGGAAGGAAATCATTTTGCCGGCTTCTAGCGTCGCGAGATTGCTCGTTAGGCTCACTTGCTCCGATTCGTTCGCGAAAAGCGAAAGAATAGGCGCGTCAAAACACGCCGCGTGTCGTGCATGCGATTGATTTTCTGCCTGCTTGCCTGATCGGCGGCGCCATTTCTATCGACTTGGTCCGGCGATGGTCTCGCGAGAGCGGCGAAAACCACCGGTGCGGTTACTCCGCGTGCGAGAAATCTTCATTACGAAGAGACAGAAAGAGAGAGAGAGAGAGAGAGAAAGAGAAAGAGAAAGAGAAAGAGAAAGAGAAAGAGGGAGTGAGAGAGAGAGAGGAGGAGAGAGAAATCGACTTGCATTCGCGGTCGGAGGCTCCGCGAGACTTTCGTCTCGGTCCAGCGGCCACTGGCTAACCTAACACCTAACCTCCTAACCTCGCACGGCGGCCAACCCCCGCCATCTTCCCCGGAGGTTTCGCCACCCTCCTCCCCCCAGAGGTCGCGCTGCTCGGTCAGCCTCGTTTCCGCGGGGTCGAGGAACGCGATACATCTTGAGAGCGTGCGGCCGTCGTCGCCGCCGCCGCGCTTCTTTGCCTCGTCCCTGCGATCTCGAACAGCTGATGCGTTACGTAGGCACGCATGCACGCAAGCACGTATGCACGCACGCATGCACAGCAGATATGTATATATATATATATATGTGTATATGTATATATACGTATGTACGTGTGTGTGCATGCGTGCGTGCACGACCGCGCGTTAAAGCAAAGACGCTGGGCGTCCGGCGTTAAAGAGGTGATACTGAGGCATTTCTAGACGACTCCGAAAAATCAAGTGTCCGCTTATAGACGTATGTACTTGTTGCTCGTCACATATTCGGCGGCCGCGTTTTCCGAAGTATCGAGAGCGAGAATAAAGCTTCAGACACGATTGTAATCGGTTTTCTTTTTAATACGTCATATCTGAACTTTATCCTTTAAATCCTAAGTTGTAAGAGATTTATCAATCACAGTTGAATGTGAGAAGAACGATCGATTATGATTGGTAAATTTCTTACGGTTTAAAACTTAAAGATAGGTAGATAATGGCTTGTAGAAGGTCTAAAAAATACAGACGATAGGAGCAGGTATTAACAGATTTCAATATAATTTTGTGTAAATCAGAATACACGGTTTTGTGATAGATTGAAAATTCTGTTTCTATTTTCTATGCTTTTTAATTGCTCTTTAAACCTAAAACTTCAGACAAATGAAAATCTCATACTACTCCTTGTGAAGTACGAAATGTAAATTTTATTGACGATTGTATATTTACTCGTTTAATTACACTCTTAGATTATCTTCTTCAGATATTTGTGTCTCTATTCCATATTCGATTCGATTTATCTGCATTTGGTACAGTAACTAATCGACTTTTTCTTGTTTGTATTTTCTATTTATAATTTATTATTATTTTTATTTCTCTTTCTTTTTTCATACAATAGAAACGTTATATAATGATATTTTTCTTTATTTCACGTTTTATGGCTTTCTACATTTGTAATATTCTTGGGAGGGAATCATCCCAGGATGCAAAATAAATGACGAATTAATAAATGATCATTTAATTCATTCGTTCATTCAACGTGAAAAGAAAAACAGAAAAAATAACTATAAGAAGTTCAGTTAAAAAGAACGGCGACCTACAGCGAGAAACACAGACTCTTCATAACGCATAACACATGAGGTATAAGAAATTCAACCAATCAGAGTTCTTTACTTTATGAAAAGGAAGGAAAGGAAGGACTTTGATTGGTACACTTTCTTATGCATTATGTGCCATGTATTATGCAAGAGTCTGTGCTACTCCCCATTTTATGTTTCAAGTTTAACAAAATTCAGCGTTAAGATGGCCGCGTTCAGTAGAATATTTATTTTATGATTATTGGAAGTTTTCTTGGCTGGGATAGGACTATTTCTTTAGATTTAAACGTATAATTCAACACGAAAATTTCTAATAGTTACAAAATAAACATTCTGCTGAACGTGACCGATATCGGGCGATCCCGAGACGAGGGAAGAAGAAAGGGATGAAAAGGTCGAGCACCACAGTGTGTGTCACCGAGAACAAGCGCCAAAAATGAGACCAGTTTAGGACGCACAGGTGGCAACCTCGGGTCGTTGATCTGATCCTTCGCCGAATGATGCTCCTGTATTTTCGCACGATCTTTTTTCTCCTCTTTTTTACGATTTTTCCTTGGTTTTTAATCGCCTCTCTCTTTTATTTCTCTACGATTTAATCAAGGGGACGCCTCGTGTCTGCGACGTCGCACTTCCGGCTTCCTATGATGCCAACGTGACGTTCCGATTCTCGAATGGATGAATATGGGTCACGAAATTGACGAAACGGAAATGGGCGCGCGCGCATGAACAGCTAAATGTTTTAACATTACCGGAAGGTAGTCTTTTTATTTTTTTTTTCTTTTCCTTTCGACGCGAGACTCGGCGCGATATAAATAATTATCTAATCACTCGTCTGACTTGACACTTCCAAAGAGAGGCGAAGTAATATCAGTAATTTACGTGACATCGTTTCTACGTCGCACGTTTTACTTGCAACGTCACCTTGTTTCCGCCTTGAGTTTGTCTTAAAACGATTTAACTGGAATCGTGAAATTTAGTAGCATATCTCTGATGCCTGAGCGTTAGATAATCCGTACTCCAATAATGCCGATTATGTAGATTAAAAGAGACAGATGTGTATTAAAATATGTAGCATTAGGAGAAAAATATTTTGTATTTGTGATTATAATTATGTGATAAAATAATTATAGTTAGAAACTTCAGTTTTATAATTATTACTACAGTAATAGTAATAATAAATAGTTATAACAATAATAATATTAGCAATAATAATTATATTTGTAGTTCTATATATATATATATATATATATATATATATATACAAGAAAAATATAGTTGGCACTGAAAATGCTGTAATATATAATATATATTATAATTTATTGTCATGTTTGGTGTCAACCATATATTTTTTGTATATAGAACTATAAATATAATATTATTATTACTAACATTACAGTAATAACAACTATAAAAATGGAACTCGTAGTTATAATTATTTTACCATGCAATTATAATCACAAATACTATGATTTATAGTTATTTTTGTTACCAATTATATATTTATTTAGTATAAAAAATAAAAATATAATTATTATAATAACTAAAAAAATGGAGCTCTCCTAATCATAATTATCACAAATACGAACATTTTTCTCAGTGCAGGAAGTTCGATCATACACTTTGCAGTCAAACAGCAGACCGTTCTCTCTTCTAGAACAAGCAGTCGAGGATCGGTTATGGCGTTCGTCAAGGAAATCGCGTTTACTTTTCCTCCGAGATATCGGGGGAAAGGTTGAGAAACGCTGAGCGATGTATACATTAGAGAGAAGGTCGTTTTAATTCGTGCCATTTAATGCGAGTATGTGAGAATCTCGAAATCATTTTAACGCGCGCTCATCGTAATTGGCTTACAAGGGGTGTGTAACTCTGTCGTCGCGCATACAGCGTGCTCTTTGTACGGGAATACTCGCGGCTGCGTAAATAATGTTTCACGGCCATAACTCATTGTCGTGACGTGAAAATGTCGTAATTCCTGGCGCGTCTCCAAGAACGCCGCGGGGGTCTTCGGCGATCTTCAATCGTCAACTTTTTCACGCCTCATTCTTCGTTTTTAACACATTTTCTCTTCTTTTTCTTTTCTCTCGCCTAATCATGGAGGTGATCCATAATCGCAAATCGCAATACCTCGAACGCGAATGGATCAACGTAATCTTTTGCGGTAAAATGCAACGCTTGTCTCGAGAAACGTTTCGCGCAAGCACGCTTCTAATCGTCCCACTCGAACGTGCTAAATCGTAAGGAACGATCTTCGAGCATGGCTTATCTCGACTTTCCTTTAAGACGTGAATAAACGTAGTTTCCTGCCGATTGCCATTTCGCTCGGTTATCCTTCCGCGTAATTTCGAAAACCTCGCTTGAACGAGCGAACTGCGCCTTCTTGCCATAATTTATTCTGCGAACGTATACTCGTAATTTCGAATGTTTCGCCGCCGACGACGAGATGCAGGGATACACGTATAGTTAAAATTCAGGTCGTCACGCGTTTCAAGATGTTTGCATTTGATATTATAAACCGCTTTTGCTTTAACTCTCGAGGGCGTAACTCCTTGCACATATCCCTTGTACAATGCTTTAGCATTCTCGCAGCATCTTTCTGCATTCTCTGTCTCTCTCTCTCTCTCTCTCTCTCTCTCTCTCTCTTTCTCTCCAGCGATTGAAAATTAAATCACTTTTCAAATCGCGATGGTACAAGTACCCTTTTAACATTCTCGTCTTGGACAAATTTCGTCAGAATTTTGTATAACAAAAATCTAGATCACCAGAACTTTTCCACTCGTCGAGAACCGATCGATTCGAATCACGATCGCGTTCGATGACAATCGAAAGAGTACGGATGCGTCGTCGCTGAATGTTGTGAATTCTAGTTCGCTGTGACGAGTCTGCTTGGCTTGAGATTATTTTAGGAATCTGACGACACGACA